TTACTTGCTAGTCCCCCTCAGTGACTCTTCTGGACGATGTTTTCCCTCAACGAACATTGGAGAACACATAAATTGCTTTGGTGGAACATATAACCACCACCCCTGTGGATGGTCCTGTGGGCCGCTTCTGACATTATTCCAAATTTCTCCGAAATCTTCATATGCTACGTACAATTCCTTCACTTCCTCAAATCCCATAACTCTAGATTATAGTGAGATAATTAACAAATGGAGATGGCTCAAAACATTTGTTACTTGATTCTGACTTCTGGCACTGTGCTTGAGCAGGAACTTGATGATGATAAGAACTCAAGCCATGAATCATGTTTACCCTTCACTTGCTTTGGTTGTTTAAGAATCTCAACATTGTAGTATGTGAATAAAGTGAATTCGTTCGTCAGCAGGTAGTGAGTCTAGTGGTGGAGAGCTTTCGCAATGACATAGAATTCCTTGTCACATGTCAAATAATTCCTTATGAAGTCATTCAACTTCTCACTGTAGAAGACTATAGGGTATCCTCCCTGGCATAACACTGCACTGATCTTCACATTAGAGGTCTCACACTCCATCTTAAATTGGCTGAAATCTGGGAAAGTTAACATTGGGGTCCGCTTCACCTTTTCCTTTAGGGTATCAAAATAGGATTGGGTTGTCTCTGTCCACTATAACCTCTCTCTTTTCAAAAGCTCTGTTAGGGGAACTGTGATATCTAGGGGTGTAAACGAGCCGAACACGAGCGAGCCCAGGCTCAGCTCGTGTTGGCCTCGTTTTTATTTCGAGCTCAAAAAGTGTGTTTGTGTTAAGCTCGTTTGCTTAGCGAGCCGAACACGAGCTGTTCACGAACAAAGAGTCGTTTTGACAACCCTAATCACATAGCCATAAGATGATAAGAGTTGGGGCAAGATTTGAAAATTATTGTTTATATTAAAACATCATTTGAATCTAATTTAATAATTTTTATTCTATTTTTTTAATTAATACTTTTAATTGATTATAAATCTTTGTGGCCTTGTAGTCAATTAAATTTTTTAATAATATTACTCATTAATATATATATATATATATTAATTGATGAGTAGTATTTCGAGCCAAAATAAACCGAACACGAACAAACAAATTTTTGTTCGTGTTTGACTCGTTAACTTAGCGAACAAGCCGAACACGAGTTGTTCGCGAACAAGCCATTTTGACAACCGTAGTAATATCGCTGAAGCTCGTGATGAACTGTTTGTAAAATGATGCTAACCCTAAAAGTTGCCTCAACTCAATAAAGGACTATGGGAAGCTTTTACTTTCGTAGGGTTCATCTGAATGTCTACACATGATACATTATAACCCAAAAAAACATACCTACATTGTTATGAATTAATATTTCTTCAGGCGGGTATATAGCTTCTCTGACTGTATAGATGTTGCAAGTGCTCCTTCTCAGAACTGCTGTAGACAAGGATGTCATCTATGTAAACAACTGCAAATGATGTAAACCTGGAACACTTGAGCATTGGACAATCCAAATGAAATGTAGGCCACTTGTACAACCTATCTCTAGCCTTAAAGGCAGTCTTCCGCTCATCCTTCGGCCTCATTCTGATCAGATGATACCCACAGGTCAAATTAATCTTGGACAAGACTATAGCTCAATGTAATTTCAGTAGGTCGTCTAGATGAGGGATAAGGAAACAATATTTGATGTTCATCTTTTTGATAACTCAACTTTCGATGCACATCCTTCACGAGTCATCCTTGGGTACCATCAGTGCGGGGACATTGCACGGGCTGGTGCTCTCTCACCAATCCTCTAGTAATGTGATTTTACACTTGCCGCTATAACTCTTTGCACTCTATTGACCTCAACCTGATACAGGTCTGTTTGGAAACACTGATCCTGGGATAACATTTATGTCATGCTGGATATCCCTAAGCTGCGGTAAACCCCTTAGTAGGTTTTTGGTCATCACCTCTTGAAACTTGGAAAACATTGGCTGGACCATTCTGGTGGTTCTGTCTCCTCCTCAGTTTCTTCAAAGACAACTAAGGCCAGTGCCATTGGGGCTTCTCGAACTTATTACATAAAAGTGGTGTGTGGGACGTCTGGCTTTACCTCTATTTTTTCATCTACATGTCTTTATCTTTGAAGATCCGCTCAACAATTTGCATCCATTCGAGGAAATCATCGTGATTCATCTTTCTGTAGAATTCGAGTAGGTCCACCTTAACTCCCAAATCTATGTGCCCTCCAACACGCACTTCGTCTCTCGGCTTCCTCTGATACTGAATTTTTAAACACCCGAGTCGATTCTCTTCATCGAAGTCATCCCTACAAAAGTGGTTCATCTATTTTTCTGGCTCTCCTCCACAGATCTCACTATTACGGATGGTGGCCTCACCCGTGGTTCTTTCCTCCACTGTATGTCGCCCATCGTAAAGTCTTGCTTAGGTTATGACAATTGCCTCCTTGGCGACATGGTTTGGGTTTAGAGGTGGATAAGTGGGAAGAGGTGTATAGGGTAAGGAAAGAAAATTGTAGTGGGGGTGGAGATAGGTTTGGGTATGACAGATGCTAGATACTCTAGGATGTGACAGGACTTTGACTAGCTCTGATATCAAATAATACCGAAGTTAACCCAAACCACAATGAAAAAACAAATATTATTACTTGAAACAAATAATGTGTTACATGATCACATAAAGGAATTACAATCACAATCACAACACAAACGCGACAGGGGTTGAATTCCAAAGGAGTAGCGATAGGTTGGTGGCTTGAAGGTGGTGAGAGGGGTGGTGGAGCAGTAGACACGGGACATCAAAGTTGGATTGCAGGTGGAGGGACGACGAGATGGGGGAAATAGGGAGTAGGTTGGGACATATAATCATCATCTCAGGACAAATTAAAACTAGAGCACCTTCTCGCATTTGGACACAACCCTTGAAGGGAAAACTTGGATGCCGACGCTTGTCTTTACATACAACTGAAAGAAAAAAGCCCAAAAAGGCCAATATATTGAATAAAAAGAAAATTACAGATACAAAGTGTGGGAGGGCTCAAGCAGAAAAATACATTAGATACTTAAAAAAAAAAAACCTAAAGTGCCTAAATACATAGTATCAGGTGGCTAGAGAGAGTCCCAATTAGGTTTTGCTTCTGCCTCTAGTTCTAGGGAAGGAGCAAGCTAATAAGCTGTTAAGATGATTGTCATCCATTCTTCTTCTTTCTCCTGTAATAGACCTGTCATTCCTCTTTCGAAGAATCAGTCTGATGGGGTGGTAGAACTGAAGCAGAAGGAATACCAATCGTAGTACCCGCAATAGGTTTTAGTATCTGTGAAGTATAAGTTGTCTCTACACTGGATACTTAATGAAGAAGTGGAGCTACGAGGCTCTCCTGATTATCAGTCTGAAAACTATCATTTGTAGGTAATAGTCCATCAATATTATTTCTTATGGGGTTTGCAGGTGCCAGCATCACATCACTCGCAGTAACAGTAACAACAGTGTCATGGGGGGTCCTCAGGGGCAACAGACACCTCCTGTCTGGCAGTATTCACCCTAAATGGAACTAAAGTGTCCGGAGCAGTGGGGTTAGACCCATCCTTATTCACTTGAACCTTAGATTTCAAATTTGGATGAAACTTGTGACATTTATAAAGAACATGACCAAACACATTACAATGGGTACAATACGGAGGTTTGTGCTCCATGATGATTTATTGCCAATAAACATTATGGTGCCAAACCAGACTTCAATAACATCATGTAAAGTAATATCCCTATCCACAAGTATTCTGGCCACCGAGGGTCTGGTTAGGTTGAAAGTAGACAAATCTAGCTTCAAATGATCCCCAAGGATGACTCTAATAGAGTAGAGAACCCGATGGTGAAAAACATGCAGCTTGAGACTAGATAAATTAAATCATACAAATACAGTGAGAGTTTCATGATTTGGTTCGAAATCAGGAGACCACTTGAGTAACTTCATTGATTTGTTTGCGATACTAAGATATTTCTTGGAGAAAATTTTGGTGTAGTCTACGGTCACTGTTAGTTGGATCAACACATGTCTCCCATACATGAATCTCACTTTTCACTTGCCTATTAGCTTAAGATTATATGATAATATCCACAGGAGGATGTACCCACTGAAATTTTTCAATGAGAGCAAACTTGAATTTTTCGGTCAGGGTATAAATTTCTGATTAAGAGAAAAAGATTGCTATTTTTTCACATTTTCTACTTACTTTTTTAACAAAAAGACAATCATCTGTATCATCGCAACATTTCTTATAGCTTGGGGAAATACCACAGCGGACTCCACCTGAAGGATACCCACCACGTGGGCAAATGAGACTCCCCTTCTATTGTTAAAATAGGGGTGGGGACCTCCCTTCTATTGTTCGGAAATCCCTAGGTCCAGAGGAGGGCCGGTCGACCCACTTGGGCCCCTTGCTGAACTGGTCCAGCTATCCAATCTTTTACGGTTCCTGTTCAGGCCTTGCTTGTCTAGTATTTTGCTCTGCATCGAGTTTAGTTGACCACCCTCATCATCTTACATGGCTTTCTTGATACAGCTGCTTGTGGATCAATCTTACATTCCATGATAAAAGCTGTGTGTTAGTTGGTAGAAAGTTGGGTGTAATGAAATTAGACATAAAACCTTATACGTTTTGTATGTGTACAAGCTGTGTTGGAAGTTCTTGTATTTTAATTCTCATTTCCTTTCTTTTAATTTAACTTAGATTTGGAAGTCTACAAATTTTTTTTCTTTATTTTTTAATTTTGAACTAATGGTACGACGAATATATTACACATCATGTTGTTTACTTCTGTTGCTTGTGAAAACGAATACTGAGCTATTAACATTTTGTGGAATGAGTTATCGTACGTCTTTCCTGTGATAGTGGTTTTCTATATCCTACAATTGTTTGATTGTAGTAGTTTATGACTATGCTTTACCTAGAATTGGATTGATCTTGAGCAGTTGTGTATTTGATGTTGTACAGTCTGGAAAAACAGTGGCAATTAAGAGGATTCGATTGGGAAAACACAAGGAAGGTGTAAATTTTACTGCTCTTAGGGAGATCAAACTTCTCAAAGAACTCAAAGATCCAAATATAATCGAGTTAATTGATGCTTTTCCTTACAAGGGTAACTTGCATCTTGTATTCGAGTTCATGGAGAGTGACTTGGAAGCTGTTATTCGTGATCGAAATATTGTTCTCTCTCCCGGTGACATAAAGTCATATCTTCAAATGACCCTGAAAGGGCTGGCATTCTGCCATAAAAAGTGGGTCTTACACAGGTAATTAATTATCTGTTCTTTGTTTATCTTTCATTTACATTATTAGCGCATAGATTTTTGATAAATTAATTTCCAACAATTTGTTTGGCAGAGATATGAAGCCAAATAATTTATTAATTGCTGCAGATGGACAACTTAAGCTTGCCGACTTTGGTTTGGCTCGTATTTTTGGTAGTCCAGACCGCAGGTTCACTCACCAGGTATGATTTGCTTATTTCCCCCGCCAAATATTTACATGGTTACTTTGGTTGTTAATTTCTCTCTCTTATTTCTATCTCGCCAGATATTGGTTGCTTATTTGCGATGTTAAATGTTTACAGGGTTTGTTTAGTCGTATGTTTCGTTACTTCTATTAGGTTCCACTTCCGCAATTATACCATAGAAAGGAAGAAATTATATTTAATTCTCTGTTGACACGCTGGAAAAAAAATCTGGTATCATTCAAAGCTGTATTCAAGTATATTCACGTCAGAGTCATTGCAACTATTGGACTTGGACTCACGATTTTTTTTTTACCTTTCAAATTCTGTTAGTAGATGTTTCTGCTGCTGATTTTTATTTTGCTTAGTCCTTCTAAATGGCTTTCCAGCCTTGCTAGTTCTAAAACTAGCCTTTTAATATTAATTACCTTTACGATTCTTGAACCTTTTTGGTGCTAATTCGCTTCCTGGTTTTTTACTTTTTCTACTCTTTTTAATTTGTTTTCTAATTTATCTTTAATAATTGCCACTCCTGACACGATGTTTTGCTCCTTATTTTAGTTGTATTGTATTCCTGTATTATTGTCTTATTGCAGCCTCTTGACTAACTTCAATGTATTTGTCATTGACATATCTGTCCAAAAGCTATATATATTGTTGAACTTCAGAAAAATGCGAAATAATATTATTGATATGATTTACATGAATCCTCGAATAGGAAAGACAATAAAAAGAAAATAACAGGAAGAGAAGATATAATACCTACATCTCCAATTAATTAATTCATATTAATTACTTGGAGATAAAGAAAACAACATAAAACATAAAATGGGAAAGGAAATACATTTAATTCTCATAACTACTAACAGTAATAAATTATTTCCTAATATAACTTCTAACAGTCTCTCTCAAGTTGAAATATGATTGAAACTTGGATTTGAAAAATATCAAGTAATGGACAAGGAAGATTCTCTGTGAGGTAGAATTTGAAGTCTTCATCCCGTACTTGGTAATCAACCCCAAGAGTATTTAGTTGACTGCGGCTGTCTTTAACTTCAGTGTCTGTAGGTAGGTGAAAAAGGTTCTACAGGTAATGTTGCAGGAAAATATACAACTAACAGTAGAGCTGTAGGTTATGGCTTGCAGGAAAAAAAAAGTTTTCGAGTTGTCCTTGCTACAGGAAAAGGCTCCGGAGGAAGGCCTTTTGCAGGAAGAATTCTGGTGGAGGACTTGCTCCAGGGAAAACTTCGGAGGAGGGCTTGATACAGGAAAACTTATGAAGGACGGCCTTATGAAGGAAAGGCTCCAATGGAGGGCCTGCTTTCAGTGGAGGACCTGCTGCAGGAAAAGCACCGGAGGAGGGCTTGATACAGGAAAAAATTCCAGAGGAGGGCTTGATTTAGGAAACTACGGACGAGTGCCCGTTGCGGGAAGAATTTGGGAGGGCTTGCGACAAAAAAAGTTATGGAGGAGGACCTGATACAGGAAAACGTTCTGGAGAAGGACCTGATGTAGAGAAAGACTCCGAAGGAGGGCCTGCTGCAGGAACAATTTCGGTGGAGGATCTGCTATAAGAAAAGCTCCGGAGGAGGGCCTGATACAGGAAAAAACTTCTGGGGAAGGCCTGATGCTGGAAAAAGCTTCGGAGGAGGGCTTGCTGTAGAAAAATGCTCCGAATGAGTACCTTTAGTAGGAAAAATTCAGACGGAGGACCTACTGTAGCAAAAGCTCGGTGAAGGGCCTGTTACAAGAAAAATTTTTGGAGGAGGGTCTGATGCGAGAAAAGGCTCCAGAGGAGGGTTTGCTGCATGAAAAAGCTCCGAAGAAGGGCCTGCTATAGGAAAAGCTCCACTGGAAAAGCTTCGAAGGAGGGTCTGCAACGAGGAGGGCTTATAACAGGATACTTTCAACTGCAGGGAGAGTTCCGGTAACAAAGGAAAAATTCGAACTGCATAGAGTTTTTTGGCAGCAGGGAATAACCCGACGGAGAAGGGCACGTTGTTTGATTGCTGGGATTTCATTCAAGGATACATCACATATCGCGTCATTAATAACCTTCCTAAAGTTTTTTTTGGAAGAAAACCAATGATGAACTCCTCTGTGACAAGCTTCCTTTCGTTTCTACAATCCATGCATGTGAAATGGTGGAGGGCGCCACAAAGGTGGTTGCCGGAATTCACACATGTAGGAAGGTGTCGGTAAGGTCCGTGGGGAAGTTTTCCAGCCGACAAAGATGATTTATGGTAGTTAGGGACCTGCAGGGAGAGATCTGACAGTCCTGGGAGGAGGTCCAATTGATAAGAGTAGGTTCGATTACCGGTAGGTATGCAGGGAAGGGGTTTAGCTGCTTGAAATCTACAGAGGTAGTTTCAACAGCGGGAAAGACTGCAGGAGGGAGTGCCGGCTGTGGGATAGGCTATAGGTAGGTGCCCCAACGGTCCTGGAAGGAGATCGGGAGGGAGGTCCGACGGTTGGAAAATCTTGCAGGAAGGATCAACAGGTGAAACCTGTTGAGAAAACAGAGACGGGAGAATCAAAAGAGAAGCCAGGGAAGATGGGAGAATCAGCGGGGAAGACAGCAGGAAAAAGAGGTTCTCCTTTCTTTATTTCCGCTGGAAAGAGGAACTAAATCCGATAGGCAAACTAGGATTTCCAGAGAGAGAAAGTCACTCTGGAGGAGGTCGGGAATTCCATTAGAGAGAGAAACTCCAGCTTTAGAGTCGGGATTTCCCTGGGAAATGAAAAACCATGTTATCTAGAGGTTGACAAAGTCGCAGCTCCCAGCTCGGTAGATTTGGGAAAGGAAAGAATCGTGCGGGGTCGCAGAAAAGAAACAGACAATGCTTCAGAGGGGCTGCAGGGATTCTACTTTAGGTACGAGGACCTGCAGACAGCTTGTAGGGAGAGAGAGCATCCCTCCCTTCCTGCAAGGAGGATGACAAGAAGGGCGTTCGACGGTTTTGAAGGAAGGACCGACAACTAGGGTAGAGAATTTGATTCTAATATCATGTTGAAATTCAGAATAATGCAGAATAATATTATTGATATGAAACAGGGGTTTAAATAACTCTTACATGAATCATAGAATAGAAAAGACAATAAAAAGCAAATAATAGGAAAGGAAGATATAATACTTATATATCTGATTAATCAATTCATATTAATTACTTGGAGATAAAAAAACAACATAAAACATAAAATAAGAAATTAAATAATTTCAATCCAAGGAAAAAAATTTAATTCTCATAACTTTTAACTAGATAAATTATTTCTTAATATAACTTTTAACGTGTGTTTGTGTATATATATATATATATTATATATTAAACGTTTGATGACCACATGTACCTGTCCATCCCATATGTGCTAATTCGACTCAGTTGGATACGAACCTGGTATAAAGGGGACTTATGCCGAATTTGCCAACCAACACGCCGAATTTGCCAACTAACAGGCTGCCAATTGCACGCGCGCGCGCGCACACACACACACACACATAGATATATATATATATATATATATATACACACATACATACATATATTGACACGCACACACACACATACAGTTCGCAACTGTTTTGGTCTCACTCATTGTGGGGATTTAATAGAAGGACAATGGGCTGATGCATGAAGCTCTATAAATGCCTTCATGTAGGGAGAATCATTAGTCTCCTCATGGTTTTAGCAATGTGGTACATTTATGATATCTTGGTGACGGTTAACTTTTGAGTTTTTATTTAGATTTATGATGGTCTTTCTTGGCCTCACTTTTATCAGCAGGGATGAAGTGGAAGGACAGTGGTCTAATGTTTGAAGCTCCATGAATACTTCTCTTGTGATTTTTTAAAATTGCCATGCTTCTATGGCATCTTGGGGATGATGAACCCTACTTTGAGTATAGATGTGCAATGGTTGTTGTATCTTTATTATATATATATTTTTATGCTATTTTGTTACCTTCATGTTGTTTTTCATTGCATAATTTTATGTCAAAATGTCATGCGTTTGTTGACTTCTGTACATTTTCCAATAGCCAATTTGGTTGAATGAGATGACAGTGTGGAAGATAGACACAATCTGTGAAACATCTTTGAAAAATTTAAACACATGCCACATAATTCCTATTTATTTACATACTGACACCTAATGTTTTATATTTATATTTATAACACTTTGATGTCAGAAACTTATGCATGGAAAGGTATATTTCACTTTTAAAAATTAGTAATGGTAATATTTTTGATGTGATGTTAAATATTTGAATGCTATGCATGTAAAGGTGAAAGTTAAGGTGTTAGATAAGTAAATACATATGAATTGCTTGGTGTTACCCTAGAATCATTTACATGAAATGTGGCCTTAATCATTATTCATTTCTAAAAATATGACCAAACCAATGAGTTTGAACTGTTTAAAATGACCAATCCCCAGTGCTCGAGTTCTTACGTCTGGGAAAGTAAAAAATTTAAGATGTTTGAAAGAAGGTAAATTAATGAATGTGCTTTTGATACCACTTTGACTTAGGCGGAGCTTGGGTTTCTTGGAAGCCTAAACATATAAATAAGAAAAAAGTCCTTTTATACAATCCATCCCAAGATTAATATAATAAGTTCCCTTATTTGTAGGTCAACTCTTCTGCCTTCTAAGGGTAAAAAAATGAAAAATATTGGAAGAAAAAAATAAAGATAAAGAAGCTTAAATTAATACGAAACTATTTATTTGAGAAAAACTCTTATGGGTTTCCTTATGTCATGTTAATCCCCTCCACTTAAATAATACTTGCCCGATAGTTTTGTGTCTGCAAATATTATCCGTTCGAAAGGAAATAATTGAAGATGACAGCAATATTGTAAGTGTTATAAATCTGTGTTAGTAGGAAGATCAATCTGGCAGGTATTGTAGCCAAACCTTGTTAGATTTGAGTTTGCCATGTGTGCTCACATGATAATAATTATTTAAAAAATGCTATTTAAAGAAACCTTAATTCGAAGGGCTGGACTAGAGCTACAGGACTAGATGATTTGGTTTGAGAATTAACTAAAGCAAGGTAGTAGATACATGCCACATCCTCGTAATTGCTAGGGCGCAAACCGATTACAAAAGAAGGCCAATATAGAAACCACTAAATTTTACTCATTCATTAGATATTAATGATGCGAATTTAGAAATCAATGGTGTAAGTTTTATTCGTTCTTATGTATGAAATATAAATAATCCTTGGAAAGTTCTTAATAGGAAACATATAAAATTTGGGATGAAAAACTGCAAAATACTTACATTAGGAAAGTTATAATGCTGAAATCAACCTAGTTGTGCATATTTATCTAGAAGGGAAGACAACGCCTGCATTTTTAACTCTTGAACAACCATGCTTGATGGATTTATAGCAAGCCTTTTGAATTTGTGAAACGGCAATGATATAGAGCCTAATGTGTGGCTTCCTCGGATCTTTGAGTGAAACAATCTTGTGTGCTCACACTCCCCTTAAGCAAATGAATAGATGTCATCGATTTTAAGCTTGTCATTTACCATACGGTTCAATGACCTTAAATTTATAAGATTAATCCTTGAGAAGACCGCCAAGTTAGCATAGTCACCTGACCTCTTGACAAAGAGTGTTCTACTATAGAAATCCTTCCTCTATCCATCTATTATGCATTTCTCAGGGTGATCTCCTTTCATTTACTTGAATTTGGGCTTGCTATTGGATAACTATCTTGGCAATTTTATCTCTTAAGACACACCACCGACCGTGCTGCACACATTTGAAGATTTTAGTATGGATTGCCTAGACTAAGCCATTGAGTAATATGCATTTCTACCGTGATTAATCATTTTTTAGTAATTGAAATATTGCAGTTTGTGTTAAAGTTAAAAAGGAATTACAAAACATATAAAAACATGCCCTTAGGCATGGTAAAAAAAATCCAAATCATCTCAGAGGATGGCAAAAGGCTTCGAAGATTCAGACACCGAAGCAAAATAAAATAAAAGCTATGTTAGAGAACCCTTTTGAGCACAAAAATGGGCTGCTCTATTGAGCTCCTGAGAAACAAAATGAAAATTAACTTTTAAAATGCGTAAGAAAAGCAAAAGTGTGGCATTTCTCTAGTTTGTCTTCCCAAGTCTTTCGAGTCACCATATCCCTCATCTAGCTGCTGATATTAGTGTTGCTGCCTTCCACAATGAGGCCTTTGGCCTCCAACATTCAAGGTTGGAACATATGTCTTATAGAGAGGATAGCTTGGAGTTCCATAGATCCGCTGTCCCAGTGTTGCATTTGTTGTCCCATAGTGGAAAGCAGTTGCTCGGTTTCATCCTGGAGGACTGCCTCCGTGCCGACCCATTGATTGAGAAGAAGTGCACCATCCACGTTCACCTTGAGCCAATGTAGCCAGAAAAAGGGTAATGACAGTCTTTGAGACTAGCTAATGCCCCAGTGCTCCGGGATGGGAAAAGGATGATTCTTGGTGAGTGCCTTAAGGATGGTTGCCGCCAGAATGTTAGGTGTAGCAAATGGCCGCCCATGCTTCTTTGCCTTCTTTCCATTCCTTGCTCTCCAACACTGGTGGACGACATGGCAGTAGATTCGGGCTAGTGGGATGTGGGTTTTGCTGAGGGTAGTAAGATCTCGTGTCACCTCAAGGAAGGTGTAGAATATCAGCATCCAAAATCCCCATTTCTGGAGAACCTGTAGGGCTTCTCTCAAAACTTTGCTCTGCACAATGATATGCTCCTTGACTCCTTGTCCTTTTTGAGGCAGCCCCATGGGCATCTTGGATCCACTCCAAGCCCCCGGCTCTCCAATTAGTCATTTGTGGGGATGGCATCGATAAAAAGTCGTCCCAAAAAAAAAAAACCTTTCCCTCGGATGGAGACAATTCTGCCGAGCCATCTAAAGCTCTCGTTGAGAGATGGAAATTGAGCTGCATAGACTAGGGAAGTGATGGTATTACCAGAGAAAGGTCTGGCGAGCTCAGGCCAATCCTCCAACAGCCCACACCTAGTCTCCACCTCCAAAGCCTGCTCCAATAGAGGCTGACCAAAGCACTCCTGTAGCTTTCACACGTCCCACGCTTCTCCCTCTCTCAAATCAGCCACCCTAAGGTTCTCAGCCGCATCCGCGTTGACGAACGCAGGCTAGCGAATCAGCACCCTATCATGGATCCACAAATGTTGAAGAACGAATACCTTCATACCATCCACAATTCTCCATCCGCCAATATGCCATGAAAAGGAGGTCCCACATCGCTTACTGCTGTTCCAAGTATTATCGGTTGGAAGGCCCTTAGCACCCTCACATACAATATGCCATGAAAAGGAGGTCCCACATCGCTTACTGCTGTTCCAAGTATTATCCCCATAGATTGCTCTAAGGTTTCGGTTGTGCAGACCGTCGGGTTCAGTGAAAAAAACCCAGGCAATCCTAGCCTACAAAGGCCCATTCCACCTGACAAAGTTTTTCCCAGCTCACATAATGCAACCCCTTACTTCGGTTCAATCCGCTCCATAAAAATTCCTGCACTTGACTTTGATTTTTTCCAAAACCGCCACCGAACCTCGGTATGCGTTATTAGATACATGGAAATGGATAGAAAGCAAGTTTTAATGTGTAGCTCGACCCGCAAGTGACACGTGTCAATTACCCCGCGCATTAACCTTGCCTGCATCTTTACCGAGTAACTTGCAAAAGTCACTCGTGACCAGCCTTTGCATTGCCAAGGTGATGTCCACATGGGCTTTTTTCATCCATGATGAACTACATGCCTCATTTTAAGAGGATGCTTCTTATTACCATCCCCATTGTGATTGACCATTCATTCCTCTTAACTTTCTGAGAGTTGAGAACTTCCTTCCAAAGCATAGTTTTTCTTTTTAAAACTGTGTTTTTAGCTTTTGGTTGGAATGTAATTAGTTATGAAGCTTTTCACCAATGAAAACCTCAATTCTTGAGAATAAAAACAAACCATTGTCAGTTTCATGAATTAGGAAGTGAAAATCATGCCTTTGAAATCTAACTCTACTTTAAAAATACCGAAGATCACGGGGAACCTTGTAAGGTTGAGTGTGTGATCTTTTAAGCCTACAATTATAGGCTACTACTATTCTCTTATGTTGAGTAATATGTTTTTATTCAATTTTATTTTTTCTTGTTTTTAATTCGTACAGCTTTCATTTGACAAATTCTGATAATTCAGCATGAATTTTCTATAAAAGTTAGTAAGATGCCAAATTTCATGAAATTCTGATATACTTAGATCATGATTCAATAATGCAAAAGTGACGCCCTAATAAATTGTCTAAACGATATGATTAATGATTCGGTGATTCCTTAATTTTAAGTTGCAGGAGTGCTCAAATGTATTGAAAGTGATCAAATTAAATTAATGAGTTATTCTTAGGTTTATGATCAACATTAACAATCTTGAATCTTGCATTTGTAGCAGTAACTTAGGAAGCTATATGGGTCGAGAAAAAAACTTTTTTAATTTAAGGGTATCGATTATTGTTTACCTTTGGCTCAACCGGTCCAATCTATCTATCATTTCATGTTTGCTTAGAAAATATCTTTGCTGCTTCTAAAATTATTCTCATATTTCTGGTTGAATCTTTGGAAGAATTATGTTAACGCTTTTAAGCCGAGATCCATTGATGACAGTATCAATCAGAACACCCATTTCTTTGTGTTTGCTTTGATCCTCTGGAATCGTAGTTTTAATACAATGATTAAAATATTTTCTTTAGGTTTTTGCTCGGTGGTATAGAGCACCTGAACTATTGTTTGGCACCAAGCAATATGGCTCTGCAGTGGACGTCTGGGCTGCGGGTTGTATATTTGCTGAACTTCTGTTGAGGCGACCGTTTTTGCAGGTCTGATTTAGAATTTCTGTCAGTTATCTTTTGATTGTTTAAATTTCTAGCAGGGAGGTGATGTTGCAAAAATATTATCATCCAAGAATGTTATACCGCATAAGTTTGTTGAACTGGTTTATTTTCTGTGTTTATTGTTGTTTAGGCCCTCTTTTATGCTGCATAGTTTAGTATTTTTATGCTTTTTGTGTCAATTGGCTTCTGAAGTTGTAAATTAAAGCTAAATTTTGTTAGTATCTTTCTCTATATCAAACTTCCATTTGTTCCAGCATGGTTCTTATGCAGCTTAATGCAAGGATATCTTTATATCCTATCATGAAGAATGCTGTTAATTTTGACAATTACGACAGACAGCAAGCCTTCTGATTATTGTCCCGCCCAAGCAAAGTTTATTTTTGAAATCTGATCCTATGATGATTTGACAATTTCCCCTAATTTGTCTGTCTTGTTTGACTACATAGAATTACTAATTTCTACTGTCCTTTTCCAGTGTCCTGCAGCAGTTATTTCTGCAAACTACTAGAGCAGTATTTATTTCCTATTTTTTAACGCATAATTGGTACTGATTTACAGTGCATGTAGGGGCATCCAACTACTATTATTAGTGTCCCAAATTGGTTCTCTTTATTTTATGTTCATTATAATTTAATCCATAAACTGCCTCATGTTTTACGTGAAAAGCGTTGCATTATTTATGATTTATATCAATAGATTTTTTTGTTTAGGCGTATTTGATGTATTCCCTCTTTTGCTGTTTTTCTCCTGCACTATATATATGTATTTATTAAAATTTTGATGAGTAAAGCAATGAAGAATTGTTCTTTCTTCTCTTTCTTTATGTCTGGGGTTTTCTTCTGGACCATGGTCCTTCTCTTTCTTCTTGTACTTGTACGAGGGAAAGTTCTTCTTACCTAGAATTTTAACCTTTCATATGACCAAATGCGGAATATCATTTTTAGGGCAAATCCTCTTCGTCTAAAGCCTCCTTTGATCCATATATTATCATCCCTCGGCCCTCTAATTGAGCTGATAATAACTTGATCCCTTTCATGGGTCACAAGTTGAATAGCCACAACTATGTCCAATGACACAATATGTGATTATGTTGATATGCTAAAGAGACATGTATTGACAATCTTCAACAAAATGGAGCTGAGAAAAAAAAAGGAATATATTGGAAGTTGCCAAGTACCTCTTGCTTGGCACCCATGTTCTCAATTATTTGTTGTAAAAACTGAAATAAAAGAGAAATAAAAATAATATTAATAAATAAATAAATAATTTAAATCATCATCCGGGCTAACAGTCGTTACGATTAGACTTAAGAGTCGAGAGCATCATTTTCAAAACAAAATGAGAGAGAGAGTAAAGAATGCGAGAGAGAATAAGAAACCGTAGAAGAAGGGGAGAAAATTTTAGTGCAGAGAAGAAGAGAGTAGAAATCACTGATTTCGTGCCTAAGACGACGTCTTGTCCTAGATGAAGAAAGGAGAAGTCGACGTCGCCGCTTATTTTGAGTCGCCCTGTGAAAGCTGACACTGCTTTGTGCTTGCGGTGCTATGTTGAGCCGCAAATCAGAGGCAAAAAAGAAGAAGAAAGAGAAGTCGAAGGAGGAAACCTTCGACGCTGAGTTTGATCCTTGTTTGCAGTGGAAGGAAGGGGCTATAAGAAGAGGCGAGCACTGCGTCTGGGCAAATCACAACCTAAGGTGAAGAGGAAGGCGAGTCGACGTACTGCTCTGCGTCGAATCTAGATCGAGAGAAGGAAGGGGAGGAGAAACCCTCATGCTTGAGTTCAAGTAGGGCAGATAGTCGAGTAAGGTAAGTGTTATAGTTATTTTAAGTAATATGTTATTTAATTATATATGAAGGCTTTAGAAATGAAATATAAATATTAAATCATACGTGATTACCCCCAGATAATACTCGTAGGGGATGCGATGTGCCCGTGCACATTAAAAGAAATGGTAAAGGTGTACCTTCAGGTGCAATTTGATGGTACTTTTAGATACATTTTTTAGGGTGCCTACGAGTACATTTTGAGGTTGTCTTCGGGTACATTTTTAAGGATACATTCGGGTATGACGATAATTCTGTTATGACTATTAAAGATGTTAAAAGGATAGATGCTTAAAATGAAACGAAAAGAGATAAAATTAAAGTGAATGTTCAAGGTTTTATAAAATAATGAGCTAAATTTTCTTTTGATCATTCATGCGTAACTTACGTATCATAATTTAGTGCATATAAAGATTATAATTACTTATTAAATCAAACTTATAGTTGATATTAATATTTTTTTTAAGAAAAGAAACATTTTAGATTGATATAACCGGTAGGAGTGATTTGGTTTACAGGAGAATGACTGCAGTTGATAGGCACTAGTTATGTTGTGTTGGTAGTTTTTTTACTCTTTCCTTCAAATTTGATATAATATTCAATATTGGTTTGAGATGTGGTTTTCAGATTATGTTGTTGTTTCTGGATATTTAGTTTTATTATACTTTGTGAATTAGTGACTCTTTTATATGTTGGAAGTTTTTGAGAAATTGTGGAAAGTAAAATGAAATGTTAACACGGTCCTATCACAGTTCTCACCTTAGTTAAATCTAAGCACTGGTCATATCACAGAGTTGCGATTACTTGTAAATGTTAAATCCCACTCAGAATTTTTGGGGTGAGACTGTATTGACAACAACCTACCAATAAATATAATGCCCTCTCTTGCATTCTCAACTTCAAAATCTCCATTTATTTAATCTTGTTCTTATGCCTACATCATCATTACCATCTGAGCAAGCTAGATCCCAGAGCTATTAGAAGTATTTGTTGGATAATAATACAATTGAAAGTACTATAAATATTGCCCTGGCACCACTAAATGTTTCCATGGGTTCATGGATATAATCTTCCTTGAACAACAACCATTCTTTCTCAAACAAGATATTCAAAGGAGATCTTATCTATTGATTATCATTTTTTTAATCTTATTCTTGAAATTCTATCACTAATCCTACTCAAAATTTACGCGATGCCACTGGAAGTCCTGCCATCAATTTGTTTTCCCTTTTTGCCTCTCTCTAAAAAAAAAAAAAGCTGATTTAATACTCTAAAAGAAATTTGTCACAACTTGATATTTCTTACCCAAAGTAATACATAATCAAATCTCGATTGGAAAACCACTTGATAACAAGGATATTAAACTCTTCAATAGTGTCATTTTCTCTGTTGTCTTTGAAAAATATATTATCCTTTAACTTTGTACCTTCCCGAGTTGTTGATAATTTATTTGATGTTAGTATCCTTCCTACTTTTCATCTTTGGTATCTTCATAAATAGATGAGGCTTTTTTGCTTTGTTAAGAGCTATGTATGGGACAACTATATGCTAGCCTATTGAAGGTGCCACTTCTACTTCTGTAGAAAGCTGAGAAGTTCAGCTTCTCTCCATGGTGTACTAGCCGTCTGCTTCACAAAATCTTGGAAAGATTTGATTGGTGATATCTTTGGAAGCACCTTTCTTAGTTTTTTTACTTTTTTATTTCATGTTTCTTTATTGTTTTATTTCAGAATTATTTTCTTTCCTAATTTAGACTAGACATATTTGGTAAGTTTGTAAATTAAGAGGGATTGGTTTATCTATATATATGTACCCTATATGTGAATAATTGAATGAAGTAGTTTTCCTCTTAATGTTTTTCTTTTTTTACAAGACATAGGAGCCTCATTCGACAGGTTCGGTCAGCTTCATCGTTAGTGCATTGATCGTCCGCTGCTTCATCTGCTTCAAACGACACAATTATCGGTTTGAAACGTTCACTGCTTCGTCAACTTCAATTGTCTGCTGCTCCCTCTGATTCAAATGACAGAGAACCATCAACTTTGAACGACAAAGGATCTGAGTTGACCTCGTCCAAGATGATCTGGGACCGCTTTGAACAAAATCTTCTTCCTGCAATGACATCTTCATATGGGATTTTTAAACGAATCAACCTCATATTCTAGTCCAAAAAACAAACCTAGCTTCCTCCTGCTGCCCGACTTCCTTGCAGTTGGAAATCCTTTCTGTCTTATTGCAAGCCCTCACCCCTCTTTCTTATTGTAGGCCCTTCCCTTTTCTCATTTGCCTCTGGAGCTCACTCGAAATCTTCTTGTTGTAGGCCCTTCGTTGGAATCCCTTCAGCTGATCTGCGGGCCTTCCACCAGAGCCCCTCCTCTTCTTCCTAGCATCATAATTCTCCTTGCAAGATCTTATCTGTTTAATTTCTATCGCTGGAATCTTCCCAACAGTTCTCTGCAGGCCCCTTCTTTGCTGGAATCCTCTTATCCCGTAACAACAACAACAACAATAACGATAACGCGTATAAGCTGTAGCAACATAATGAGCCAATTTTTCTCCTTTCCTATAATAGTCGTTCCTCTACCTACATAAACAATTGTCAACTCTCTTCTACTAGCAATAGACCAAGTATGCGATGAAGACGTTAAGTTCTACTCCATAAGTTAATTTTAAACAACACACAAACCTAGTGACACACTACAATAATATATACTTCTCTCATCGTGTTAGTAATGAGAGATTTAAAGTTGGATCATAGATGCAGGAGCCTCTTATCATATGACCAAATATATCAATTCTCTAGTCAACTATAAAGGGACTTCTACATCTAGATGGGTCACACTTGCAGATGGATCACACTAAAAAATTGCTAGAAAAGGAGATGTGGAGCTATTGGACTGCAATCTGATTTTATTTAGTAAGTTTACTCATGAGATGAAAAGTATAACTAAAGTCCTTGCAAACTCTTCTAAATTTTAGGTGGTAGAGTCAGGGAAGGTGATTGACAGTGATAGAATACACCAAGGCTTATACCTGTACAAAAAAAATCTCTTTCTAAACACATAAATGATCCCATCTCCAATTTTATCTCAAATTTGTGAGCCTTGAGTTTATCTGTCCAAAAATAGGTAATGTTATGGCATTGTCGCTTAAGTCTTTCTAAACACATAAATGATCCCACCTCCAATTTTATCTCAAATTTCTGAGCCTTGAGTTTATCTGTCCAAAAATAGGTAATGTTATGGCATTGTCGCTTAAGTCATTTTAATTTTAATCATGTTGTAAAGTTGTATCCTCGTTTATTTATCAATAAAAATTCTAGTTCTTATGAATGTGAAATTTGTCAAACACTAGAAATATTTATCCTATGAAAAAAAACCTCACTTTTTCTATTATCCACAGAGATATTTGAGGACTTTTAAAATTGAAAATCCTAAATGGGGCTAGATGGTTCGTTTCATTTATTGACGATCACACTAGAATTACTTGAGTATTCCTAATGAATGAGAAATTTGAAACAACTCAAATCTTCCCAAGTTTTCATGAGGATTTAAACTCAATTCCAATGTAAGATGCATATTCTCAAATTGATAATGCAAAAGAATAGTTCAATTTCATCATTCGGGCCTATCTTTGAAAAAATGGAATCATCAATGTGAGTTCATCTATTGATATCTTTTAATAAAAATTGGATAACTGAGAGAAAGAATAAATATCTCTTGAGGTATCCTACTCAATTATGATTTCCCATCAAGTTTCAAAAAATAATTTTAGAAAACGTACTTCTTACTGCAACAAACCTTATCAATAGAATGCCTAGTCTGGTACTTAACTTCAAAAAATTTCTCATCATGTTTTGATGGTTAGCTATCATCACATCAGAGCTTTCTCTTCAAGTATACCACTTAAAATCTTTGGATGTGTATCTTTTGCTCACATCTATTCCCAAATTCCACAAAACTTGACCCCAAATATAAAGTGTATTTGTCTTAGGCATGCAACCAACAAAAATGAGTTTAAGTATTACTCTCTTGTTACTAGAAAATACTACAATTTTCACGGATGTCCCATTTTTTAAAAATCAATCCTATCCCAAATATGAAGTTCATAGGGGTGAATATCAATTTTGAGGGGCACTTGATGACTCCTACGCAATCTCGCCACCTGCTCTACCTAACCCTCCTATCATAGTTGAAGATGTTCAACTAATTCAACCAACCAAACTTGAAGTTCATAACAAAGAACTTCGTGTGTCCACACAAGGAGAAAGAAAAATTTTGAGCAGTTGGAAGACAACTTGCAACGACTAAACAACTCAAACCAAAACTTGAGTTTGCATTGATTTGAAATTTTGGGTCAGGAGTCTAATACTCTTGAGTTATCCCCTTTCTCTTATGTTGGTGACAAGGAAAAATGCATTAGATATTCAATTTAGGAGTATGTAATTTATGGGAAACTATCCTCACCCTACAAAGCTTTTATTTCTAATTTTGATAGTGTGCGTATTTCTAAATTCATTCATAAAATTCTTGAAAATCTAGAACGAAGAAAAACAGTTGAAGAGGAGATTCATGCACTGAAGCATAATGACACATGAATTCTTACTAAACTCTCTCAGGATAAGAAAATAGTTGGATGCAATTATGCATATGGGTGTTCAACATTGAATACAAAGTTGGAGGTATTTAGAGATTCAAAGCCAGACTTGCTGTAAAAGATTTAACTCAAACCTATAAGATTGACTATCAACAGAATTTCACACTAGTTGCTAAACTAAACATTGTCAGAGTTCTCATTTCAATAACAGTTAAGAAAAACGAGGACAACATCAACTTGACGTAAAAAATGTCTTTCTGAACCGGGATATGAAAGAACAAGTGTATATGGAGATACCAGGACTTGAGAATGATCCCAACAAACTCCAAGTATGCAAACTCAAAAATTTTTAATAGGTTTAAGCAATCACCTGGAGTGTGGTTTGAAAGATTTGTTAAAATTATGAGATCTAATGGATATTCTCAAGGTCAAGTAGAACATATTCTGTTCCTAGAACATATTCAGAGGTGAGAGTGCTGCACTGATAGTATATGTGGATGTTATGATTCTTATCGATGATGATGAAAGAGAGATTCTCAAGATCAAAGAAGTGTTTGTTACTGAGTTTGAAATTAAGGACTTAGGTACAATGAGATATTTTCTTGGTATGAAGGTAGCAAGCTTCAAGAAAGGCATCGTTATATCACAGAGAAATGCATCCTAGAGCTACTAAAAGAGACAGAGATTATTGGATGCAAGCTTGTTCTATTCCAATGGATCCCAACATGAAGTCTAATAGGGGAGAAGAAAGTGTATATGTAGATCAAAGATTGGTAGTAAAACTCATATCTCCCACATATGAAGCCAAATATTGTATACTTTGTCAGCATTGTGATCTAACATATGAATAACCCAAATGAAGAGCATTTGAAAATGATGCAAAATATTTCAAGGTTTACAAGAATATTCCTGATTATGGATTAATTTTTGAGAAAACCAAGAAGAAAGAGGTAGAAGTATACACTGATGCAATTTGGAAATCCGGTTACATGGAGAAATAAGAAGCAAGCTGTTATTTCTAGAAGCAGTGTTAAATCAGAGTATAGGGCACCCGCCTTAGAAATATGTGAAGGGATATTTATTAAAAAATTATTAAAGAAATTGAGGTGCACCTCCAATAGCCTATACATATGTTTTGTAGCGGTCAAAAAACCATCAGTAATGCCCAGAACCCGGTGCATCATGAAAAACCATACATATTGAAATTGATAGACATATTATCTCTGAAAAGGTTAATGTGGGAGTTAGAAAACTAAGCTACAGCCCCAGACAACAACAAGTTGCTGATGTCTTCACCAAAGCACTTTCTTTAAGCACCTTCTCAGAGTTCAATACCAAGCTTGGTCTTTATAACATCTACGACCCAGCTTGAGGAGTGTGGAAGTGGAGAATTTTAGGTCATCTCCATGGTGGGCCCACCAGCTACTTTACAAAATCATGGAAATATTTGATTGGGGGTATCATTGGAAACATCATTTTAGTTTTATTTCCTTCATATTTTATGTTTCTTTATGTTTTATTTCAAAATTATTTCCTTTCCTAATTTAGACTAGATATATTTGATAATTTTGTAAATTAGGATGAATTGGTTTCTCTATGTATATGTACCCTACATGTGAATAATTGAATGAAGTATTTTTCCTCCAAAAACTTGTTTTCTACAACTTCAAATCTCTTTGCTCATTTCTATGATTGATGCTACAGTAGTGGCGCATCATGTTTTTCGTGATCATTTTGAAGTAAAATTTGATGGTTTAGGATCTGATTATTCTCAAGATTCTATCAGAAGCTTTTCAGGTATAGCGGAATAAATGTTTCCATTGTGTTTAATAAAAGTGCAAAAAAATTAGAATTTTTTTTTTTTTTTCAATCACCCAAGTTTATTGGATTTCAAGCTAGACTTTCTCACGTGATTTTGCTGTTCTAAATTTAGTAGATGTTATTTTGATTTGATTGATGGTCTACATCTTATCATATGGATTTATATTAATTTTTGCTTTCATATTGTCACACCCTGCTCGTTGGGTTTGGAAGGAACTCGTGGAGAACCTGGCAAGAGAGTGTGAGCTGAAAATTTAGAAAATTTTGCATTAATTTAAAATGATTATTATAATATTTATCCACCAATGAGATCATTAGAACATTTAAATCTAAACTTTATTTTTTTATATATAGAGCAACCAAATCTTTCATATCATATAAAAAAAATACCACTCTTTTGACTTCTAAAATGTGAAATACACCTTTTCATGCATAGGTTAGGTGGCATATACATAAAAATTGAAGTTTAGGAGTCAGATATGCAAATACATTAGAATTGAGTAATGAGTGGTATTTAAATGTTCCTTTTTTTTGTGTGTTCTCTCATTTGTGCCAGAGGCAGCATGGTGCAGCTAAGCTCTTGTAGTGGCGTGGTTGAGCCAATCTCCTACTTTTGATACAATGAATTAGGACAAGGGAAATGTAATCCGAATAGTACACTTTTTCCTCTTACATTATTGATGCTAAGCTGGTTTTTATCTGGGTGTTAGCAAAGGTAGCATTATATCAACGGGCCAGTAGATCATGTTTCTCATTTAGTTAACTGTAGCTTTCAAATTCTCTTTGAAATGTTGATTGATGCATTCCATAAAGAACTTGTATTTCTACTGATCAGCCGTTACTGCTGTCTTGAAGATCAAGCTGCCAAAGCTATTTTATTTGTATTTTGTGTCATTTACGAGCTTGTTTTCGTGTTATTGCGCGTTTGTTTGTTATCAGTTAATCAGTTATTGGCTTTTATGATATTAGCTTCGAGCTGTTTATTTGTTAGTAAGGAACATTTTAGTAACTGTATTCCTGAAGGTGCCTTCTACTTAAAATATTCTTTAGGTTAATGTAATTTTATATTTTGGATAATGAATTTTTCTAGTTGATGGTCATGAAAATTTCAGCCTTCTCTTCTTCTTCAAGTAACACAGCCTGTAATAATCTAGATGCGTTGATGATTCTATGCAATAAGAATTCATCGTGTATCTTCTCGAGATTCATTATTTATCTTCTTCTTTATCCACATTCTCCCTCTTGTCCCTCAATTTCTCCATGTTCTATCATATATTCTCATGTATTTCAAATATTTTTGGCAGGGTTCCAGTGATATTGATCAGCTAGGTAAAATATTTGCAGCTTTTGGAACTCCAAAACCATTCCAGTGGCCTGACATGGTGTACCTTCCAGACTATGTTGAATACCAAAATGTTACGTCACCTTCACTCCGTTCATTGTTTCCCATGGCAAGTGATGATGCTTTAGATCTCTTATCAAAGATGTTCACTTATGATCCCAATGCAAGAATATCTACTCAGCAGGCCCTAGAACACAGGTGCGCCTTGTTTCTTTGCCAGGTCGTCTCTGTTACTTGTCAGCTAGGGAGAGTGGGAAAAATCATCAAATATTTAATTTTTTGTTTAAGTATTGGTAAAAAACTATATCGAGAGGGGACAAAATTACTAAATTGCCTAAACTATATATAAATTTTTTTTAAGATATACTAAAATAGTGAAATCTTAAATTCCAGGGTGTGCAATTGCTCACCCTGGACATAATAACCCGATTTCGCCCCTACTCTCAGTTACTTTACTTTCTTCTTTTCATTGAAATGCATTTTGGATTTATCACAATGGATCTTAGTTTCTTTGGATCAGATACTTCTCATCCATGCCAGCACCGACTAAACCTGCTCTACTTCCAAGACCGCCTCCAAAAGGTGAATCTCGGAATGAAAAACCTCTGGACTTGAATGTCGAGTATGGTCCAGTTGTGCTTTCTCCGCCTAGAAAGTCGAGAAGGGTGACAGTTAACCCTGTCGGTTTAGAATTGGCTGCACATAATAATAACTCTGTAAGAGGCGACGAGAATGACAAGGCGTCAAGAGGAGTGGGTGAATCTGGCCTTAGTGGGCATATTCCAATGTCTATAGATTTGGAAGCTATGTTTGGTTATACAACAGCTCCAAGGCCAAAACTCAATAGGTTTGCGCCCTATCCTTTTTTGCGTGTGGTACATACATATCACCCAATTCATATCTTTTTACATATCTAACGCTTAATTTTTATTTTTTACATTTATTCCCCAAATCTTTCTATCTAAGGCTTAATTTTTACTTTTTACATTTATTCCCCACCATTTTAACTTCTAAAAGTAAAATACAGCCTTTCAAGCATATAGGTAAGGTGGTTGTGTGTAAAAATTAAAGTTTAGGTGTCATACATGTAAATACACAGGAATTAAGTGGTATGTATGTAAATCTTCCTATCTTTCTAGGGGCATTTACATCCATAGCACACAAATTTCATCTAGCTATCTATTTTACACCTAAACATTCATATTTACTAATATCACATCAAAAAGACCACCATCACCATCATTTTAAAAAAAATACATTTTTTATACATAGGTTTATGACACCAAGGTGTTATGAATATAAATATCAAACTTTGGATGTTAGATACGTAAATATGAAAGAATTGTGTGGTATGTATTTAAAATTCTCTTTTTTTATGATTAACCGTTATGGTTGATGAAATTTCTTGGGATCCTTCTCTCTGTTGCAGCGTTGATAGGTCTCACTTGAAAAGAAAACTTGATTTGGATCCTGAGTTTGAATAAGCTCGTTTCCCTTACTAATGGCAGAGCTTCAATTTTCAGACAATGCTTGCAACTTTCAAGCGATGATACCATTCATGATAAGGTGAGTGTGTGTTTGATGGAACTGGTCATTTTATACTATTTATTGGCTGTAGTTTGGTTCTCCTGATTCAGCTTACAGGAAATCCAAGGGCTATTATTTCCCCCACACCCAGAAAAAAAAAGAAGAAAGAAAAAAACCCTGAGATGGAAGAATTACGTTTTATAGATTTCTCATTCAAGTATTTGATTTAATATGTATTAAAAGTTTTTAGTTTTGGAAATTTTGCATGGGCACTGATGTTAATTATAGGCCTGAAGTGTTATTAGGGTTATTGCCAGGGAGAGAAATTTAAAATGGCACGTTCAACGGCTAGTGCTTATTGTCAATGCTTCAGGAGTGACTGGATTTGTCAGCATTCAATTTTTTTTGTTTTCTGTGCTAACATTTTGTCTTTGGACGGTATAATCGAGGCAGTTACATTTGTTCATCCGTGGCTGGGTCATGGATGTGAGATTTGTGTGCATATGGTGTGTGCGTGAGTTAGGGGTGTGAGTCAAGCTCATGCTCGATAAGTGACTCGTTAATTGAGCTCAATGAGCTAACAAGTCAAGCTCAAATCAATCACGACTCGTTAGCTCGTGAGCCGATTACAAAATATTAATATAAAATATATTAAAAATATATTAAAATTAAAATTTTTTTTTTAAGTTATTAAAAATGTTTAAAAAATCAATATTTTGTATTATTTATTTGGTGATTTTTTATTGTTAATATCATAATTGTTCATTATATTTATTGTCTTATTATAAAACTTGCTTGAATTAAAGTCACTTTTCCTCTTTATAATAAACAAGACAACTCGAACTTATAATTTTAAGTTTGACCTAGAACTGGATAAAATCATTTAGTCTCGAGCTAGGGCTAGCTCGAGCCTGACTCGTTTACACCCTAGCGTGAATTTATGATTAAATTTATATGATAATATTACTACTACTTTTAATAAGTATAGTTTAGTTTTATCACTCTTTTTTTTTATTGCTGTTATGTATTTGTGGCCATTCTAGCTTTAATTTGGTATGCTTACCAGTTATTTTGTTTCAAAATAAAAGGAAAAAAAGAAAAAATTACATGCATACCATAAAATTCTTTATGTATTTATATATCTAAAACAGATTTATTTTTAAGGGTAATTACAAACAGACCACCCAAAACTTCCTATTTACAAATTAACGACCGTCTTTCATCCATTTTTCAAATTCTCACTCAAACATTGAAATTATTGGTAATATTGAAATTCATTCTAAAGCTCTGATTCTTAATTTTCATTTTTATCAAATTTTCAATAGTTTGATCATGGCACATGTAAATACATTAGTGTGGTAGTTTAAAAAAAAATACGTGTGATTAATTTGAAAATATCAATGTTCGGGTGGTATGTATGTAATTTATTTCTTATATTTATATTTATAATATTTTGATGTCATAAATCTATGTGTGTGGGAAGCAGTACTTCATTTGGCAAAAAAATATTTGTGATATTTTTTATATGATATTAAAAATTTGTGTGGCGTGCATGCATGCATGTAAATGGGAACGCTTAGGTATCAGCTATGTAAATACATAAGAATTGTATGGCATCTATGAAAATGTCTCAACAATTTAAAACATCATAAATTGTTTTGAGAGGGAGAGACGAAAGGGAAAGGGGAGTCTTCTCTCAGGGCATTTATTCGAGCCATATGTTCTATAATTTATTACTTATAATTGCAAGAAATAAGGGGCTCAAGTACAGGAGATAATATTGCATCAGAACTCCTAACGCAGTTTGCGTTTGTAGTCCAATGGTGGGGCGCCACGTGTTAAGCGGGCCCCATCGTAATACACTGATTTTGACACGTGGCGCTCCACCATTAGACTGAATGCATCCGGAGTCCTGATGTAATATTTTTTCCAAGTATAGATGGGGAGAAAATGGTGAAAGAAAATGACAGTGACATAGTAGATAGAGAAAGAGGCAAAAAATTATTAATAAAAAAGATAATTGTTTTTTTATTTTTTATTCATCAGTTTTTTTTTTTTTTTTAAGTTATTTACTTTCCTAAATGCTTAAATTTGGATATTTATTGATATGGCACAAATCTTTGAACCAACTAAAATATATCAATGATATTTTATAACGAAAAAGGGTGTAGTTGAGTGAAGCCAACTCGTGAACTTGCTTGATCTCAGCTCAATGAGTGGCTCGTGAATTAAGCTCGTTGAGTTAGGAAGTCAAGTGCAAGCTAGCTCCAAATCGACTAGTTAGCTAATGAGCCACCTCATTTAAAAAAAATAATTAACATTAAATGTAGTCAAAATATATTAAAAATCTAGAAATTATCTTTAAATTATTAAACGTATTTAAAAAAAGAAGTATTTTATCTATTATATCAATTTGTTTCCTATTCAGATCCTAATTGCTCCTTCTATTCGCTAATTTATTATATACTAGGTTGAATTAATATTATTTTCTCTCAGTTATAATAAACAAGCCCACTTATAAACCGGATTAGACTATTAGAATTAAGCACAGGCTTGAGCTTGAACTCGCTTAATTAATCAAATACAAGTCCAAATCGAGCGTGACTCGAAATTGACCTGACTAATTTTTTTAATGAAATACAATTTTAAATACATGTGATATAATTCAGATATTAAAATTTTGACGTTACTTTTGTAAATATATATGAATTATGTGGTTAATATTTATCAACTATTTACGATTGTATCAATTTCATTTTTTTTCAGTCACAAAAAGTCTCCAAAATTCTAGCTCATGCTAGCCTCTAAGTCCAGTGTCCGAAAGTTTATTAGGTGCACTTTATAAATATAAATATCAAATTTTAGGTGTGATATGTAAATACCAAAGGATTGTAGGGTGTGTATGTAAATTTTCTTCATCATAATAGTATATATCTTATAAACTACTAGCTTGTAGTGAAACAGGTGGAGCCAGCTGAATCCTCAATTGAATGCCTCCTTCCAAATCATAGAGCCTAACCATAGAATAAGTTGGAGGGCTCACCAGGTTTCCTGGCATCTGAACACTCTATTCTTTTGCCTTTGAACTCTAAAAACAATTCCTTCAAATTTGAACATATCAATTTGAAACTCCTGAAACACTAAGCTTGACATCCAAATTTTGAAATCATGAACAAGACAAGTCGATGCTTTAATCAAGAGCTTTCTTGGGGCTTACAGTTCCCGTGATGTAATTCATTATGAGAGCTTTTTCTTGTATGGAAATTAGTACCTAAAAAATAAATAAACCCTATCTTACATCAGTAAGGTAGAGAAAAAATCTCTGGTTAATATACACTCGTAAATCTTAAAGATTTACATCATCCAAATGATTAGATCTATTTCGAGATTTTTTTATTTCCTCTTGGGTTATTATATTATTCTTCTTCAAACATTTGTCCTGTTAACTTCTTCTGCTTTTCTTGATGTGAAAGTTGCTGCATGTCGAACGTCATGGCTCCATTTCCTCTCAAAAATTGAAGGTATTCCTTAATATATATATATATAGATATATAAATATATGTATACACACACACACGAACAACTTTTCATTTAAATTTCAACTTGTCGTACCATTTTCTCTGTGAATTGTTTCATACTATTTTTATAATTTCATTGGAGCAAAATCTTTTTTTTTTTCACTGAATTACTTTTATTTTGCTTCAACATAATGTCACTGAATAATTTATGCTAATCAATTTTTTCAAAAGAGCTATTGTTAGTCATCTAAATTTATACTTTAATTAATGTTTTTTGCAGTTGCTAAAATTAATTTTCCCGCCTTCATCAAAATGCTAGAAAGAATATGTTGTAAGAAAAAAAAAAACCGCTAAAAATGTTGATGATTGAGCTGCTATTTATTTAAAATAATACAAACAACCACGTTTCCTAATAAGTAACAATCAAAGCATTCTCGTAAAAAAAAAAAAAGATTATAGGATTGGAGATGTTGATATAATTATCTTTATAGGAATAGTTTTGAATAAGAATATCATGATACATATTTGATAAGGTTATGTTTTATAGTCATTAAATTTATTTTTTAATGATTATAATATTTAGTTGTATGGCTAAATATATATTTATCTTTTCAAGTTAAATCTAATACGTATGAAATCTACTCTAACCAGATATTACAATTCAATAACAAATAACAAGTAGTAAAATAAAATGCTCAAACCCAAATAAAAATTTTGAGGTTATTTCTAAAATTAATGGTTTGTGCCCCCACTAAAAAAAAAAATTCTGGCCCCGCCATTGTTTGTGAGGGAGGGTTTTGCTGGAGTGCAAGGCATGTTAAAGGCGTGTGAATTGCAGTTAAAAACACACATTGCCATCCTTTTATCCCTTGGTGATGAAGTGTTAAGGGAGGCAGGGGAAGAAGAATCAGCCATTGATGTATGGGAGAAACTTCATTCATTATGCTTGAAGAGATCTTTATCCAATCAACTTTTCTTGAAGAAGCTGCTTTATACCCTTCAAATGTATGAATCCAAAGTCAAAAGCACATAGATGATTTTAGTAAATTCATTCTTAATCTCAAGAATGTTAAAGTCAAAATAGAGAACGAAGATCAATGAATAATTCTTCTTAGTTCACTGCAAAAGTCGTATAAATATATAGTTAATACAATGTTCTATGATAAACAAACTCTGACAATGAGAGAAGTAAAATCTTTCTTGACGTTGAAAGAAATTCAAAGAAAATTAAATAGATAAAATAAGAGAAGAATGGAGACAATCTGTTTATCAGGGGAAGATCAGATCATAGAAGAAGTAAATTCAATAAGAGTTGTCATAGCAAATCGAAAGCCAAGTCTAAAGCTTCAAGAAAATATTTTCATTGTCTTAAAGAAGGGCATTACAAGAAAGATTGTCTGAATAGAAGTAATAAAAAATTTAAAAAAAAATTAATTGAAGGATGATGGTGAGGTTGCGGTGGCATGAAATTCATATGGTTATGAATCATCCGATGTGTTGGTTTTAACTCAAAAGGAAGCCAATGATTAATGGATCATTGATTTTGGATGTCCTGTTCATATGGCATCAAAGAAAAGGTTCTTCCAAGAACTTAAAAGGATAGATGGTGGAATTGTTTTATTTGGAGATAATAAAATATGGCATTTGGAATGTTTGATGGCTATATTAGAATTCTGAGAAATGTCAACTATATTTCTTGACTCTAAAAATCTTATCTCAGTAAGAATGTTGGATGCAAATGGATTCAATGTAAAAAAAAGACAGTGGACAAATTAAAATCATCAAAGATGCATTGTTTATGATGAAAGAATCATTGGTTAACAACCTATATTCTTTGGATGACCAAGTTTTTGTTAATTATGCAACCAATGCAGTAACAACAAATATTGACAAAACTGATTTGTGACACTTAAGACTTAGTCATATCAGCTATTGTAGGTCGGTAGAA